CCCCAAAACCCCAAAACCCCAAAACCCCAAAATCATCTCAAGATTTAAAATATTTAAAATGAAAAGAAGCCTGAAAATAAAATTTGACAACTCTGAGTTCTCTCATAAGCCCTTTGTCCAACAACTCTGGGACAAGAGAGACCACTGTAGTATCAGAATACTTGAGACTGCCATTTTTGGAGCTGATGGTAAGCTTAAGCAGTGGTTTTTCAGCAACAGGAAATTACGGCTACTCAAGAAGCATGCTGCTAATACCAGCATATTCACGTTAGAAAATGCCTTTATCAAAGATGGACCAAAAGGTAAGTAATCCGTACTGATTGATAGATCCAGAAATGTGCGCTATCAAAAGATCTTACCCGCCATCAGTGTTGGAGATCCAAACCCAAAGAGACATTAGTAAAACATTTGATTCCTCAAAGCATCCTCCGATGATAATTTCATATGATGATTTCCAAAAGATATGTCATAGAGCGCTTCTGCCGTCGTTAAGTTCTAAAGGAAATGTCATCTCTTTACAGTTAATGATCAAGCCAGCCATGGATGCACTTTATAGAGTCATCTATGTTGAAAATATATTCATTAATGAGTAAGAAATCGATCTAACAGATAGAGAAAATGACCAAATGGATTGATATGAATGATATTCAACTAGTTTTAAAAGCGCATTTGGTCTTGAAGAGGTCAAATCTCATCCCGCTGATGCTCAAGATTATACACCCAGTGCTGAATATATGGATCTGATCAATGAAAATACTGAGAAAGCTAAGACCATGACATCGCATTTGATCAATGAAGCGTTAGAGACAAAGTTAAAGAAAACATCAGATGAAGTGATAAAGTATATCAAATAAGTTCCATAAAATAAACTCAGCTTCACTTGAGTTTATCATGGATAGTCAGGGATTGCTCTATTTGATAAATCTCGAAACTTCCAATGCTTCAATTAAGAAACGAGCAGCCAGGAGTAACAGAAGGTATGTAAGTGAGATAACATTCTCTAGAATTCGCCTCCAAAGCTCCAAGATTAGAAGGAACAAGTTCTCAACTCTCAGACTTTCACAGGAAGGTGAAGATTACAGCTCACATCTAGGTAGCAGAGAGCAATTAAGATCTCGTGCCCAAAATTATAGTAAAATCAGAAAGCAATCCACCCCTCAAATCGTTCCTAAAAGTCGAAAATATATCAAAAAACAGTATTCAATAGATCGTGATGCTGCATCTAACAGGGTAAAAATCCTTACTTCCAAATTAGGTAATTCCCATATCTTCCTTCTAGGTTCGGCTACAAAAATGATAAACTACATTCACAAGAACCAGAACCGGAAAGACCTGTTCAATAAGGATGTTCAAGAGGAAATCAAGAAAGGTACTCCTAGCATAGCTAACTCATAGTCAACCAAGAGATGCAGCTAAAATATGACAAAATTAAATAAAGAAAAGGATTTTGAGTACCAAAAAATCCAAAAGGTAAAGCCATTGAAACAATTATTAATGAACTTAGATGGCCGATGTCAGAGAAAAACTCGAGAAAGAACTCCAACAGGTGGAGCACAAATAAAGAAACCCTCAAAAATCAGCTAGATGAAGAGAATGCAGAGATAAAGTCTCTTGAAGATCAGATTAAATCTGTCTTGGAGAATATACATGCTAAGAAAAATGAACTTCAGTATCAAAATAAGAGAGCTACTTCAGAAATCAATTATGATAACAAAACCCCCTTCATGGCCAAGTATATCCTTGGCCAAGAGCAAATAGTCTCCAAGCAGAAGGAAGTTAATGACTTGAAGTTAGATGTATTCGAGAAATTGTTACAAAGCCAGAGGTTTTTTGTGTAAGAATGATAGAATACATCCAACAATTTCAATCGTTAATCTCTTTAAGGGGTTTTGGGGTTTTGGGGTTTTGGGGTTTTGGGGTTTTGGGGTTTTGGGG